GAATTTAAAGAACATCACTAAGTAAAGAGAGATATTAAAGCCATGAACCTGCCCGATTTAGATTAGAATAACACAAAGAAGCCAAACAAGTTCAAGCACCATACATAAATGAAGACACATAAAGAGGCTAAAACCATTCCTAGAAGCAACTTTAGGTAGAGAGTTGTGGAACATAACAAAGACCTGGTTCATGGAGATGGCGGCCAAATATGCGGTTCCATGTCTAGATTCACGTTTGCCGCATAGAAATTGTCATCCCAACCATGCTCAAACTCATCTTCATAAAACTCTCCCATTTCACCATCCTCAAGAAACTCCCAGGCCAAATAATCAMACCCATCCGAGAAATAATCCGAGCAGCAATCCTCCCAATCGTTTATCATCTCATAGAATCCGATCACGCGTGGACCCAACACTTTCATATTCGGAAACTTCTCTTTGAAGAACTTGTTATCTAGTTGCACGTCCCAACAGCCTCTAAGTTCCAAAAACTCCAGAAAAATGCAGCTGGATAAGATTTTGAGTACTCCTTCTGTGCTGACTCGGTGGTATGCAATTTCTAACCGTTTCAGCTTTGGCATCGTGTTTGCTATTGCATAAGCTTCATCGTCGTGAGAAACGACACTTGCTACATCCAATGGATGCATATTTCTGTAAAACTCTATCAGAGATTTACAGTGTTTGCCAATAGCTTGTATCGCCTCTGAGCCTAATTTGCAGCAGTAGCTCAAGTCCAGCAAAGTGAGAGATGAAAGCTTTTCAGCTACGTTCACCACACCCGAATTGCTCAGTCCACTTCTCGGAACCTTTAAAGATTTAAGCGAACCAGCACTTACAGAAAATACAAGGAAACATGAAAGATTATCAGTACGACAATCATAAATACAATACCAATGAACCAAGAAATCATGTTGCTTAAGTCTCATCCAAATACAAACTAGACTACGCCTATAAACCAATTAAAAGTTCTCGATTTGACCCTAACACGGCGGACAAAGCAGAAATTTGAGAAATAGAACACATTGTTGTTCAACGATAGAGAAAATAGAGTCATTTTGATGACCAGTGACAAAGACTTTCCAATTATATGATTGCTTCAATTTCATCTAAATACACCACTTAAAGGCTATTACACCTATAACCACTTAAAGCTTCTTCTCAATACGATCCTAATACGCCTGATAAAGCATAAAATTCGAGAGATTGTAACTCACTGTTGTGCAATGAAGGAGAAGATAGAATCATTCTGAAGGCCAGTGACGGAGAGCTTTCGCAAAGAACCAGAGCTTCTAGTGATCAACAACTGAAGCATCCGGTCGAGAAGATCAGACTGGTGACAACGGTTACTCCACAGCTCAATGTCTATCTCTTGCCAACAATAAGGTCCAGTTACAGCTCTGTTCCATGCTTTGCAAACTCTAGGCACCACTGTTAACACCTCTTGAAGAGGTAAGTAACTAAAAATTAAGCCAAGAGCGTCTGGAATCAGCTCATCCCATCGTCGAAACTCACAATCCTCTTCCATCTACAGATTTCTGTTATTTCCACAAAAGCAATACAGGAAATGATCACAAATCTTCAAAATTAAGTATCTGAAAACCCCCAAAAGTAGAAAAGCTTTAAGTTTTATCATGAAGCAATCACAAAATTTCTTCTTTCTACCAAGATCTAACACAGAAATGAAAACAACAAAAAAACTCAACGAGCCATGAACAAAGCATGCCATGGAACTAAAGCAAATCCCTGAGAGCTAGAAATTCACAAAACGACACAACCAAAGTCCATGAGAAGGAGAAAGGAATGAACACAAAACATGGAAGCAACATGAGTAATCCAAATCCGTACAGTACAAACACTACTAGCTTCTTTTCTTTTACTCAGAAGCTCCCACTGCAG